GGGAAGGCGGAAGGGATATGCTATCGATGGTGGAAGGATCCGATTGGTCGATTTGTGTTCAAGCATGTGATCGATCATGGAGGGATCCTGATTGATCGATCCGAGGGGTTCGATTGATCGATTTGAAACGATAACACTGATCGATCATGGAGGGATCCGATTGATGCGATCATATTGGGATAAGATTGATCGATCATGGAGGGTTCCGATTGATCGATCGAGTAGGGATCCGATTGATCGGTCATGTAGTCGATCCAAGTCCATGACCCATTTTTGGGTCACTGGGAGTTTTGGCAAGTACCATTGGTGGTGTTATGTACATGCATTCTTATATAGGAGGTACGCTGTGCCTTAGTTTAGGTTTAGGAATGATTTTGTATACCATGTTTGTATGGTGGGGTGATGTAATACGTGACTCCACCTACGAAGGAGTGATCCTATTGATTGATCATGTAGGGATCTGATTGATTGATTGATCATGTATCGATCCGATTAATCGATCTTGTAAGGATCCTATTGGTCGATCATTGGAGGACTCGGATTGATTGATTATGTAGGGGTGCGATCGATCGATCACGAATGGGTCTGATTGAGCAATCCCGAGGATTTGATCGATCGATCACGATTGGGTCTGATTGAACGATCCCGAGGATTTGATCGATCACGGAGGGTTCAGATTGATCGATGATGGAGGGATCCGATTGATGGGATCATGTAGGGATCCCGATTGATCAATCATGTGTGGATCAGATCGATCGGTCAGGTAGGGACCCGATTGATCGATCATAGATGGTTCAGATTGATTGATCATGTAGGGGTCCAATTTCGGTCGATCATGGAGGGGTCTGATTGAACGAGTTGGCGGGTGAGGTTAGGAAGACGATGATTCACTGCGCATGTGAGGATTTTGTGCGGGGAGAAGGGGGGGGAAGAGGGGGGAAGGGGGGGGGAAGGGGGATATGCGATAATGTAGGGAATGAACACGAAGAGTGGATCTACGGAGAGAGGTGCGAAAAAAGAGGTGGTCATATTGGCATGTGGGGGGAGGAGGATTGGGGTTGGCCGATAGCGTAGGAAGTGGAGGAATGAAATCCTTGAGAGAGGGGGAAATGAGAGGGGGGGGAAAGAGAGGGGAAAGAGAGAGGGGGAAAGGGGAGGGGGGAAAAGAGAGAGGGGGAGAAAGAGAGAGGGGGAAAGAGAGAGGGAGACGGACTGCAGAAGAAAGAAGGGCAGGGGGCAAGCGAGTGACTCTTCAGTCGAGGCGAAATGAGTGCAAGCGCGAAGCGAGAGGGCGGATTGATTGGTCTACACAGACTCTACAGCCTTCCCCCGAATACAACGTACGGTCATTATAGCTGAAAATTTGGGGTATCTTTCACTCTAAATTCAGCTATAATGACCGTACGTTGTATTCGGGGAAAGACTGTAGGAAAAAGGAATGTTGTCAGGTAGGCTGAGAAAGTGATCCCTCGACAGTAGAGCAGAAGGGGGGACACGAGGAGGGGGGGGGAGGGGGGTCGGAGTAAGGGAGGAAGGCGAGTGGGAGAGGGAGAAATTCTCTTTATGTAGGAAGATGAGTGGGAGAGGGGGACAATTTTTCTCTATGTAAGAAGACGAGTGGGAGAGGGATAATTTTTCTTTACGTAGTAAGAAAACAGGGGGGTGGAAGATCACACTTTCATGGGAACAATTCCTGAAAACATGCTCAAAAAAAAAAAAAAAAAAAAAAAAAAAAAACCCTTTCTTGGTTGCGCCAAAAAAAGAGGGGGAAAAAAGAAAAAAGCCTCCCGGTTGCTGGTACTGACAGGGGGCTTGACAGCCGTGTTGATCGAAGCGGCGCAGGATGGAGAGGATGAGGAAAAAAAGATTTGTGAAAACAGTGGCCATAGGGCCTCGCTCCACTACACAACACTCTACGTGCATTTGGACGCTGTCTAGACCGAATACATTCACAAATATTGAACGCGTCCGAATGCACCTGGTCTAAGAAGCGTCCAGATGCATGAAGAGTGTTCTGGAGTGCAGCCATGTTTTAACATATGCGAGGATCAGTGTCCTCGGTAGGCCCCCTGTCTGCAGCCTTACCCGCCCTAAGTGAAGGCGGGCCTGGCTTTTTGCAAGAGGCCCTAGACTGTCAATTTCATATTTGGGGTCCAGGCCCTCGACTGTCAATTTCATATTTGGGGTCCAGGCAGTTGCGATGCGCCAGTTGGTTGAAAGAAACACAGGCCGAGTACCGAAGACATTTCCAGGGCCTACCGGGCCTTTCCAAAGAATGCAGGCCCTGGGCGTGATTCGCAGCCTCATACAGAGACAGTTGGGCGCCCAACCGAACGAGGCCCAGCAGCCCAGTAGCTGCTGCATCCAGACAGCATCCTGGGGCCTTCCGGAAGCTGCTAGGCCCAGGCCTGCCCAACCAGGCTGCGAGAGCTGGCCAGCTCTTTTCCATAAAGGAAAGAGCTCTGGCCAGGCAGCCTCATTCAGGCACTCGCATGCTGGCGGCAGCGCTGCTAGAGCAGATGCTCGTGGGCTGCTGCTAGCACTGGGAGGCGAGGTGCAGCACGTGCGGTCGTGCAGAGGAGGAGGGCGCTGCTAAGGGCAGCGCCATAGCCCAGCCACCATAGCTGGTGGGCTTGGACTACAGTGAAGCGCAGGGGTGGTCTTCGGGTGACAGAGAGGACAGATGTGGGTGAAGTCAGAGGATAGGTGAAGGATGATGATGATGATGATGATGATGTGAGGGCACGTACCTGGTATTGGCGATGGTCTGCATGGGCGGCATCTTCAAGTACTTCGGGCTGCTGCTGATGTCAACAGTTGCATTGTCTTTTTGTAGTCTGTAATAGCTGTGTAGGAGTAGGCTGGGCACTGAGCGCCAAGTGTGAGTGAAAGGGAATTGGACTCGTGTGTTGAGGGAGAGAGTGTGCTCTCCACGGACATTGGTTTTCAATGCTACGAAACTCCATTGGTGTATTATTGGTGCAATGCTGCTATCTGGACACGGTGTAACTATTTGACTTGCAATGTGATGGTGTCATCTGGGATTGTCATCTCGCTGTTGCTTATTTTCCTTCCACATATAAACAATAATTACGTCTCCGCATGGTCGTGGGGGAAAAAAAAAAAAAGCGTGGTGGCAGGTCCTGATATTGGGCTTGACAGCCGTGAAGGAGGAAGAGGAAGAGGAGGAGGATCGTGAACGAACGAGAGCGCCAGGGTTTGCATTCTTGAAAAGAAAGAAAAAAAAAAAGGCTTTAATTTCAATTTTTGAGTAGGAAAAGAAAGGGGTATGCAACCCCCCTTCGATTTAATTTCTGACCCCTTGGTCGGATTTGCTCATTGGATAGGATTTTTTTTTTTTTTCAATTAAAAATTTGGAACATTTCTCGATTTATGTGTGTTATCCTTGCGCGCAGGCACCATGCAAATTACCCTTCTGTGTATCGTTTTAATTTTGATGGATGTCCCGAAGATCTGAGGGAAGTTTTTAGGCGGGATCATTATGGAATATAGCCCCTCTGATGATGATGATGATGATAATAATAATAATGATGATGATGATGATGATGATACCGGAGTGCAGCCGGTTGAAATGCCACCACCATGCAGGGGACGTTTGCGCGCTATCGAGTTTATATGAGAGGGATGCTATCTTCGTTGAATTTAACCCGATTTTTAAATTTAAGTTATTTAACCCGATTGAAAAATTTTGAAGAGCGTGTTCAGGAAGCGAAAATTTTTGACA